ACTTCCAAATGTAAACTACTATGGATATCATCATTAGGATCCGCCCTGCCCTGGTAGACTTTTTCTGTCTTATTGGTGTGCACTATTGTAGACTAGCTCGACTGCAGCACGTTCGGGGCAGACCCCTTCACCTTTAAGTAGTACACCTTTAAGTAGGAAAGAAACACGTCATACACCTTGTCGTGTGCTCTCAGCAAGATTCTCCATCCAACACTCCGTAACAAACCGACAACAACAACGACAATGATTACATGATCAACACTCCGTAACAAACCGACAACAACAACGACAACGATTACATACAGGGCATGGATGCACCTCGCCCCGTCGACCGCCAACGAAGCAGGCTACAGCTCTGACGGGGCCATGTTCGTGTGACAACACCGCCACCACCGCCACCATTCCTTCCACGACCATCGGTGCTGGAAAAGACCAAATGATGCAGCACGGGGGGAGCCAGATACTTTGCAGCAGTGGCGGCTTGCCGATTACTTCGAGGGCGGTCCTGTTCGAAGAAATCATGACGATCCCGCCAGCCGTAGCACGCCCCATCGCTGTGTGTCGGTTTGGTGCCCTCGACCCCATGGACAGGTGAAACGGGCAGTGGGAAGCTATCCTGGGAGAGCTTGCGCTCCCAGGGTAATCCTCCCACTGCCCGTTTCACGTATTGATCGCGTCGAGGGCATCGAAGCGGCTTATAACAGGGGGGAGCGTGGCGGTTGAGGGATCATGGCGATGTTTCGAACAGGACCACGCTTGAAGTCGTGGGCAGTCCGCCACTGCTATGAAGCATCTGGCTCCCCGTGCTGCATGTTTGCGGTTTTTCCAGCACCGGTTGTACAGAAGGCGGTGGCGGCCTTGGGAATGCACACACACGAACATGGCCCCGTCAGAGTTGTAGCATGCTTGGAGGAGGGGGATCACCACGTTGGTCTCAGGATCGGTCACCCAGATCGCCCGTAAAGAACCCGCAACGGACATGAGTCCAAGGAAGATCGAGAACCTAATCAAGCACGGGAAACGCATGGTGAGAGTGGTCCTTAGTGGCTTTGATCTCGATAAGAGCGGGTTTTCCTCATCACGTGTAGCAGAGAAACGGTTCGTGTATGTCGAAATAGCGCGCTCGCGCGCGCGTCACAAAGCTAGGCATTTGACGTTTTCCAGAACAGGGGAACGAGAGGGAATCCTATCATTTCGCCAGCCTTTTTACGTGGCTGCTGAACCGCTGCCTCTGCCGAATATGTTTAATCATGATCCGCTGGAAGCGGACTGGTTGTTTGAGCGACGCTGGTTTTCCATTTTCTTCCGGTGCATGAGGAGACAGCTGTATTTTTTACTGGTCCTTTGCGAAGAACCATCCCCTTGCTTTGGGGGACCCTAGTGCAGCGGTAGCGCATTGCACGGCCGTTCATTCACCGGGGCGTTGCGGCTTATGGGATCATGATGATCTCGTCTAACTGCACGGCCCTCTAAGTCGTCGGCAAGTCGCCACCGTTGTACAGCATTTGGCTCCTCGCGTGCTTGGTGTATCCGTCTTTTGAAGGTCGCCAAGTGTACACTTGACGACAGCCGCTAGGATCGCCAGTTTTATGTCAACGACCATCGGTGCTTCAAAAGACGGATACATGCAGCACGTGAGGAGCCAGATGCTGTACTGCAGTGGCGGCTTGCCGATGACTTTGCCGGCCGTGCTTTCCTAAGACCTCACGATCCCTTGAGCGGCAACGCCCCCCGCCGCTGTGAGCCACCCTGCAGCCCATGACGCCGTCAACCTGTGGAACGAGCCTTGAGCGGCGGTTTCGGGAGATCTTTCTTTTCTTTACCAGCCCAGGAGAAGATGCTTCACGTGGCGAACAAGAACCCGCCCTTATCGAGACCAAGGCCACTTGCGGACCACCCTCACCATGCGCCGTGCTTGTTGGTACTTTTTCTCTGCACCATAGCTGGACTCACATGACTCCAATTGAGTTGAAGAGGAAGAACCCCAAACGAGCACGTAAAGCGCATGGTGATGTTGGTCCGTGAGTGGCTTCGATCTGAACAAGAGCCGCTTGGTCGCTTGTCACGTGAAGCAGAGAAACGATGTGTATATGCCCACGTCGAAAAAGAGCGCGCGTCACAAAGCTGCGCATTTGGCTCTTTCGCAGAACGGGGACACGGGGAAGAAATCGTAGGCTATTGCCGGCCGTTGTTCATGGCTGCTGACGACCGCTGCCTTGGGTGGAACATGTTAGTTATCATGACCCGATGAACACTGGGTTGCGACCGTCTTGATCAGCTTTGTTGTATTGGTTGTTGGTCTGGTTGCCACTTTTCTGCCTCCAGACTCCTCACGTTCGTGTGTTTGCTTTCTGTTGTTGCAACTGCAGTTGTGCAGTCTGGCTGCTGTGTCTTGTTTTTTGCCTTTGCTTCTGCTGTTGGAATGTGCTGCTGCTACCACGACCCTCTTTCGATGTTCTGTGTTGCCTGTACTTCTCTTGCGTGTTGTTGTCATCTTCACATTCCGCAATTGCAAATTGGGGTTTCTGACCCTACTACAGTATGGCACTGAAGAAATTTGTGGCAGGAATGCAATCTCACAAGACCATCATTTTTGTGACAGAAATCTTGGTACAGAAACCCTGTGACGAAATGTGAGATTGACTTTCTCATAGCTCACGAAATCCAAGCACAGCCTGTTCGCTCTTGGCGGTGACCTCGGGTGACCAAACTAGTACTTACCGAAGTCTGACAGCTCGCCTCGTCGAGTTCCCAGAACGCCGGTAGCAGTGCAATGTAACGCTGAAATCACGGGTTCCGTTCGTTTTTCCTTCCTTGTTTTGCCCACTCTCTGTCGTTACTGTACCGAAGACAGGCGCAGCCCATGACCAAAACCTTCAGCTACATCATCACAACGATGCCGCCTCTTCTTTATTTTTTCGCGTACGAGGGAGAGCATGCGCCTTCTGTTTGTCTTGCTTGCGGTTTACTTAATTAATCTTGCGGTGACAGGATGGATGAAAGCCTTCTTGTTTCCAACACGAGTTTCATGTGTGGGTGGGTTGCGTGGTATGTGTCCTTTGCATGCGATTTGGATGGAGGTGTTGCGGGGTAAGGCGAGTTGGTGTTGTCCCTTACACGCGAACGCAGATTGTGTGGTGGGAGAAAGGGTCTGTTTGTGCAGTTGTTTTATTCCTTACGAAGGAGAGCGCTTGCCTCGTGGACTTTGGTCGATGGTAGCCATCTGATGTGGAACGAATGTCATGTTCTTCGTATAGTTTCCGATTTTTTACAGAAGGTCTACGGAGACTCGAGGCGTACAAATAGTACTTGTATCCCCGGGGGGTATGTATGCATCATGTGTTTTGATGGCGTAAGGGGTCCTGAAGGTTGGGCCCTCGTTCGTCAACGCTCTCTTTACGGAAAACAAGCAGAAGGCTTTTGCCTCTGATCACTCAATCAGCCTACTACCCCAACCCCTCCTGGGGATGGACTCTTGATCTGATGTGTATCTATTGATCAATTGCCAATCCTGGCACGTCTAGCCTCCATTCTTGTTTCTTCTTGCGGGTTGAGCTTGAGGCCCTTGCTTGAAAAAACAAAATGCCGCCTCGTCTCTGCGACTGCAGAAGCTCGTCGGCCGTTTTGCTGTACTAAATTGTTGTACAAAAAGGTAGGATGGGTTCGAGCCTTCGCTTAGACTCAACGCGTGGCGCGTGGGTTTCTGTGATGTGCGACTCGTTCGTCGCGTTGTTGCTTACCGTGGTAGATTTTACACGAAGCAATGTGCGTGAGTGCGAATTTACGCACGGGACGCGACTGAATGAAGGAACGACTGACTGTCTTCGTACGTACGCCGGTATCACCGTTCGTTACACCGCGTTACCGTGCAACATAGGCGGCGATCGCGGTGCGGAAATCAAATGATGATCGCTCGGTTCTTCTTGTGCTGTTGGCAGACCATCAATCCTCCGTGCGGAACCAGCGCACGCCGTGCAACAACACCGCACAATCGATATGGCGCTTTCCAATAAACGTGTTGCACGATAGGGAGGTTCACGCACAAACAGCTACCCAGGTTGTGTCTTGTGCACAAAACCTCCTCCCAACTTGCCCCAACCTCCCTAGACTATATGTAGGGTCAGCATGTACGCAAATAAATGTACGCCGACGTGTGTGTGTAGCTAATAGCCCCGCATAACGGATTGCGTCGTTGGTCCAATATATGGGGCGGACTGGCAGCGTAGACTACATGTATGTCCAAGGTTGATTCCCAACGTCCCAACCTGACCCCTGGGAGGTTGGGCATCAATTACAACCTTTGGCCAACCCGTGTAAGTTTGTTGTACTTGCACGCACTCAACCATTCGCAAGGCGTTGCGAAGTGTCATAATGTACATCTTGAACGTCCGCGAGCGAGTAATCCACTCAGCGATTTCTCCATCACATTGTTGCATACAACAACTCGACCTTAGTTTTCATCCCTGTGCTGTGCCACCTCAATTACCCAACGTAAGCGAGATGTGCGACCCGGCACCAACCGGCGATCTTACGGGGGATTGAAACGAACGTGGGCGGGTACGAAACGGCCCGAGTTTTTTTTTCTTTGTGCACGCATCTACACTTGTATCCGTAGAATCTATCTACAACATACACGCGTTAGTAGGCGCGGGGTGGCTGACTTCTGTGCTCGGGTCTATCTCTATGACATAGCTCGCCAGCGGGTCGTCGCATGGGTTCGGCCGGACAAATCTTGCTTGAACAGAAGAGCAAAGAAGAGTGGACGGGGGAGCGCGATTACCTCCAGCCGGCAGCCCCCACCGCGATGAAACCCTTCGATGATTCACGGTGCCCCTTTTTTGGAAAGTTCCACAAGACCACCTCAACTAAGCCAAGGCGCTGCAACACCGTGCGGCCGGGCAGCAGGAGCAGACCAGCTGCTTTCTTCGCAGCAGCACAGGAGAGATAATCCCAAGCGTGCGCTTGCGCCGACAAAGGCAGAAAGAAAGGGGCAGAAAACGATGGTTTGCCCCGTCCGACCGGCGTCCCTCTTGCTGGGCGTAGGACTCGTACTGCTGTCCCCTGTCGAGTGCTCCCGCGCCAGGCGCAGGCATCATCCCACTCCGGCCGCGTACGCCAACAGCGGAGACAACCCCTCCCTGGTAACTCCGCAGCAGGGACTGATCCGCGAGGAGTCCTCGATTCCTGGCGTGTCGATTTGGACTTCGAGAAGGGCAGCAGCAGCGTCAGCTTCCGCGCGAAGACGGAGAGCTTCTTCCTCCTCTGCAGATCCCTCGTCAAGTGCCTCGTCGTACTGCTACAGCAATGCTGAACCAGCTGGGTTTCCTGGCGAATGCCAGGTGGGATAGATGGCTGCATACGTAGGATCCACGGCGAGATTTTGTGTTTCGTTATCTCCTTGTTTGTCATGGACGAGACGCCATAGCAGCGGTTACCCCCCCCCCAGCCCCGCGTCGTCGGTGTTGCCTGGAACGTACACACGTGGGATCTCGTGAGCACCCACATACACAGACCGCTGCACTGCTTCGTACCGCTGCACTGCTTTGTACCGCTCTGCAAATTGAACTCCATGTCGCCCTTCAACTACTATGCAGCAGTACATTGTAGTGGAGAACGTGACTTGTGTTGTTAACGGATGGACTACTCTGTCTGCTGTCATACGTCTCAGGACATGTGTGCCGAGACTTCTATTGGCAGCCTGTGTTTCGCTGCTTGTAGTTGAACATGAGGGTGTGACCTACCCGCCCCCCTTTCTACACATCTTCACCTCCTGTGCGTTGTTCACTGTTCACGTCTGGAAAAGGGGTTGCCCGAACACTGAGAAAAAGTATGCACCTACAGTAGCGTAGGTGGAAATACCAAAACGCATCACCACACCCTGTAAACGGAAAATAGGAAACGGGCATCTATCACAGCAGCTCTAGGAACAGGCTCAACAAAGTTTACTTCTATAATACACGGGAGGCGTGTTCCTCGCATACGTGCGTGGCCCCCTCACGCCGCTACAAACTCGAAACCCCGCTCTCTGACAACAACCAAACCGTTCACCGGCTGTTGATGTTTTGGAGCAGGACGGGCGTGGGGGCATCGGAGACGCAGACGTAGAGCCGCCGTCCAGGGGCGCAAGGGAAGAAGCCAGGGAAGACCTCGGCGAGGTGAAGTAAAGTGAAATGAGATACACATCGGATGAGATGAGACTCACACACCAGCACAAGTCACGTGTGTCCCAGCCAGGCAGAGGTGGAGGCGTAGCGGCGAATTTGAGCTCCTGACCTCCGGAGAACGGTTTTCGTTTAGCTTGATTGGATGCTTGAGCCGCTTGCCTTTAGAAATATCTACGAACTACGCAAGTGTTTGTAGACCGATTGCTGGGCACTGGTGTATGCGAGAAGCGCTAAGAGCCAAGTTTTTACACATGCACAAGCCGTAGGAAATCATTCTCCCGCAGCATGAGAAACATTTTTTTTATCCTGTATTTCTTGTTGCTGGCATGTCAGCGTTTGTTCGGCGACGTTTTCATTGACATGGTGGTGGCGATGTGGCTCTCCCGACCTCCTGCTCTCCCGAAACGTACCCGTGCAGGATGAGTACGAAGGGGTGTTGACCACGGAGGAAGAGGAAGACGAGCACGCCAACGAGGACGCTCCCCCCGGGAGGCTTTTGGAGGAGGGGGGGGGGTCGGACTCTCAGGAGGATGACACGGACGATTCGGAGGACCGCTCCGAGGACGGACACGATGACGACGACGACGAAGATGGCGACGACAGCTATGACGACGGTATGGCGTGGCCCGGGGGGGAGGGGGTACTCATAGTCGTGCATGACGTAATCGTTAGACCATCGACCTCGCACCGGGTGGGGGGTTAAAATTGCGCTGCTCGTGTGAATTGGTGTGTGTGTGTGTTTTCGTGGTTGCCAGGAGGGAGGGAGGGGGGGCGCTTAGATGTTGTTTGGTTTGATGAGTTGTTGGCGGAGTCGATGTTGTTTTGTGTCCAGATTCAGTCTCTTGACGATGGGCGTGGTATATTCTCTCACGATGCAGTAGTTGTAAAAGCGTGTTGTCAGTGTCGGCCATCGCGGTGCTTGTTCTGTGTGGTGGATTGGCTGATTGACGCGTTGAGAGCTCGTGTTGTAACGTCGCATTTTTGTGTGCTTCACGTAGCTCGGCTGGTGGCGACTTTTTCAACGACAGTCTTCAGAGATGATGACACCTGGGTCTCGTCTTCTCCCAGAGTAAAGATAGCTTTCCGCTTGACTCTTGTTCACAAATACCCGTCCCCCATCCACACACACACACACACATGGTGTTTTGCCAACATTTGCTCCGTGTGTTTCCGCAGGGAGCTACGACTCCCACGAAGAAGAGATGGAGGCGTCTCTCATGGGCGATGAAGTTCGTAGCGGCAGCAGCGGCGGCGTGGCGGGGTCGTCCATGTCACGGGAGAGCAGCGAGGCGAGGAGCCGGAGGGGGAGGGGCCGGGGCGGCGGCGAGATTTCCGCTCTCGCGAACAAGTACGAGGACGATGAGGAGGCGTGCTTCACGAGGGTCAAGGAGCTGTGGCACGACCGGGTGTGTGCGTTTGGGGAAGGGAAAAAGTGTTCTTTGTTTTGCGTCAAGATTTGAGTTGCTGAATACAGGGCGGCTGAGTAGGCTTAAGACGCTCATGTCTTCTGGTTGGGGCCGGGGGGGGGGGGGGGACTCGTTGTTTGCGTACCTTCGCCGTTTGACCGTTGGCTTCGCGTGTTCTTCAGAGGTGGTCCTTAGGTGTTCCTCCTCCTCGTAGAGACAAGACCTCAATCAATCAGTGCTGTAGGCGCTCTTGTATTTTCTCGCCGGGGGGAAGGGCGTTTTCGTGAATAGCGATGTGCGGTGTGAGTACGAGGCATTGTTCCCGCAGGGTGTGGAGATGGGGTATGACTGGATGCTCGAGTGCGGTGATGCAGGTTAGCGTTGGTTCGTAGAGCCTGAAGGCGTGGACGGAGTCGTGCATTGGAAGGCCATCTTCTTTCGGTTCTCGATGCCTGCTTTGCGGGTGCGGTTGTAGCCTCTGTGGCTGCTTCGCACACAGGCATGTGAACCGTCTAGTTTCATGGCGTCTAGGCGCGTGGGCGTATTGCATATTTATCGTCGATTCCTGTCATCCTCCTCCTGTCTCCAGTCGCAGAGATTCCTCCACAGAAAATTCAGGCTCAGGCCTCTACCCTTTGCCACCACCACCCCCCAAATGTTTTCGCCACCTTTGGCAAAGTAGGAAGGAACGATTGGCGGTCGTCGGTGAGTCCTGTGGGAACAATCCTCCTTCCTCTAGAGGA